GAAAGGAAAAAGAAAAGGAAAAAGGAAAGGAACAAGGAAAGGAAAAAGGAAAGGAAAAAGGAAAGGACAAAGGAAAGGAAAAAGGAAAGGAAAGAGGAAAGGTTTGGTGTGGCATTCTAAGTGTTACAAATGCAGCAGGGAGGGACAAAAATCGTCAAGGAAAGCATAATTCACGTGGAAGTCAGCAAAAATCATAAAACACATGCCCACAAAACCCTTGGATTCATTCTATGTGTAACCTTTTTTGTAGCATTCTAAGTGTTAATCCGTGTGGTTAATTTTCCAAAACGTCATTCTAAGTTTCAGTTCGCTACTATATATATATACATGGTGATGAGAGTGAAAGCGGGAATTTCAGTCAAACTTGTGTCCAAAAACGGGAGAGGGATCTGAAAATCCCCTTCTATGGCTGCAGATTTCTTCTCCTCACCGGTTGCAAAAGTGGTTCCCATCCGAAAAAATATATGGATCATCTCAGGTAGGACAAGTAGCAAGTTCCAAAAAAACGTTTTAGATGATGTGTTGAGTGACAATTTACTGGAAACTCCCTAAAATCATCTAAAATCAATCACACCAAAAATATCCGAAAATACCAAGTCACCAAGTGTTCTTCTTCTATATAAATGTTCCCTTCGAACCACCCAGCACCAAATCTAGGCTGCACCTCCCGCGCTTGCCGGCGTTGTTCCTTCGATGCCATCCTGAAACCCCACAGGGGAAGAGTGACATGAGGCGAGAATGTCACCTGGACAATGAACCGAGGATGCACAAGTAACAAACTATACAATTCCAAACATATCCGAAATCCAAAAGATTCCCTCTCCCTATGAATATGCAAAGAGTCGGGCACACTCACGTATGCGTGGCCGAATTTCAAGATGGAACCCAAAAATACAGCTGTGGATGCACATGGATCCTGATGATCCCGCTTTTCTATTATAACTTGCTCTTTCTAGACTCTTCGGGTGCAGCAATCCCGTCCCAGCCATCGTTCCTGTGGGAGAAGTGGGTGTTGATGACCCACATGGGCCTGGCATCTTCCGAGGTCAAATCTAACAGCACCTGGCAGTCGGGTGTGACGTGGGGCCCAGGTGATGAGTTGGGAAAGCCATGGGTAATATGGATATGGTGTGAACCCCCCTGGCAGATGCTAGTCATTCGGGCCCCATCATCCCATATAGGGCTGGAAATTGTGGTATTTAAAAGCAGCAAGTGCATGCAAGTGCCAGTTCATCAGCGATTTACCACCTTCTGCCCCAATTTGGGGTGGTGGGATCCGCGTGTTGGTTTATAGCTTGGGACGTCTTATAAGAAGATTTTTATCTGCTTATGACACCTCAAAATCAGGGATTTTCCTCAAATAAGACCCTACCAAAAATGACCTGCCCCAAAACTGACCCAGTAATAAGCAGATTCCAGGAATTTGGGAAAAGTGGTGGAATTGTGAATCTGCTTCTTACAGGTCAATCCCAAAAGGTGGATTGTTTTTTTCTTCTAAATATGTATATATAATTATATGTACTATATATATATATGTGTGTGTGTGTGCGTGTCAACTCCTGTGCTCTAAGGACTTCGCAAGCGCCAATTTCCTTCGTTTCCGTTATTTCGCAACCATCCAGCATGCTATTAACAGACAGCAGAATTTGCACAACGGCAATCCACAAAGAAGACGGCGAAGGCATCAAAAGAGAATGATGATTTCAGAAAAACATGTTTTGCCCGTGGCGGTTTGCCTATCAGCGTCGCGCATTTCCAGGAAGTTGGATCAGTTTTGAAGAATGTCTACGCATTCACCATGTATGCATGTAATGTAGATCATGAGATGGTGAAGTCAGGAAGAGGATGAGCGCGGAGAAGCGTACGATTTTGCGCAGTGTGTTTCCTGCGGAGAAGTCCGAAAGATGACGACTTAAGAGATACTTCCGGTGTTCCCACGCAGCGATTTTAGCTAGGACCAGGATGTTTTCAATTTTCGAGCATGCAGGGGGTGCCAGGGATCATTGCAAGTCTGGCACTAACAAAGACGCTTGCTTTGATCTGTGACATCAGAAAGGGACGCCTTTCTGACGTACCTGCTCATGTGAAACTGTTAATCAAGCTGTTGCAGTCAGGCTGTTTAGGTAAATCAGGTCAGCTGCACTTGTTCGTGTCCCTGACATCGAAGGCGACTTAGGAATACAGGTCAGCACATGCAGTGTGTACTTCCGGGTGTTGGACCTTGCTTGGTCTCACCGCAATCTTTTTCATGAAGTGCAGTAACGTTTTTTTTCAAGGAAGTAGGTATCAAGCAGAGGAACAAGCAAACAGAGGAACTGCTGAAGCCTGTCATTTTCACAGCTCAATTTGCGACCCTGATCCTTCATCTGAAGGTGACTGGGATACCAGTGTGTACCGGTCAGAGTTCTGACAAAGAGCTGGCCGTGACCTGGGGCGCCAGGCGATTCCACCGCCGTAGTAGCGGTTATCGGAGATTCCACAGTATGCGGGCCTGTTTTTACAGGGATTCCACGGAAAGGGTCTGCCCCACCGTTTTTCCCGTAGCACTGTTCTTCTTTACGCAACAAAAAAGACCCAAAGCTTGGAACAGCACCGGGCCTGATCTATTCAGGGATTCCACGGAAAGGGTTCGTCCCCCGTTTTTCTCGTTGCAAGGTTCCTTGGTTCTTCGGAGAGGGTAGTTGCTCATTCTCACCAGTGATTCCACGTCTACATCGGCGTTCTTGTCTGGTGTGTACATAAACTGTAAAACACAAAAGGAAACTTGAACGACAAGTGTCGCAAAAGCTACAAAGAGCAAGTTCCTGACAACACAACGGCAGCTGCAATAGTACTAGCTCCCACCTCTTTGTGCATATCTTTTCTCCAAACAGGTCACTGTTTCCAAATCAGCAGGGGATCTGTTGGTTTGGCGCCAAACGCGTTTTTCCTTTCTGCGCATTCGCGCGCTAGTTGTTTCTACTACAAGATATCTTGCTCTGTGATGCACTTGAGTTGCTTGTCAGCATGTTTGTCCCAAAATGTGACTGAGTTGCTTGACTTTGATCGTGCCATTTCCCGTTTTCCGCAAATAATTTCTTGATCAACTGACAGGGTTCCGTTGCAGCATGCTTTGTATATGACAGGTTTCAAACTTCATTCATGGCACATGATATCGAAAGAATCACTACGAACTATTTTTTCAAAGATTTCTGTTTGTATTGCATGCATGTTCATGTTCCTTTGACGTTCTGAACCTTGCATTTTCGAATTCGACATGTCGTCCCCGCATAATTTCATTATCTGTTTTGGTGGTGCTGGCAGCAGCTCTACAGAGTGGATGCAACATACATTGACATCGACAGCAGGACAACAACACTGTGATTTCACAGGTATGTCGGAACATATTCGCAGGGATATGCAGTCTTCACGAGACTTGCCAGCTGTACCTATTCCTCCTGAGCACCCTGCCAATGTTCCGTGCGTCTCCAGACATCGTATTGAAGATACGCAACATTCTATTCACAATCGTGATCGATCCCCTTTACGCAGATCAAGATCCAGTGTGTCCAGACGGGCGGGTGATGATATTACAAGCCCAGGCAAGAATGGCAAAAATCTGCCACCTCTTCCAAGATCTAGAACCCAGACACATTTTCCTCATTTCGGCGGATCTTGTGCAAGACCGGGCTCTACACATCGAGCGCGGTCTAGGTCGGTTCAAAAACGGCGGCCACATAGACCTCAGGATCGAAGTTTACCTAGACGCACTAGACGTGATCGTGACTCTAGGTCTTTTTCTAGAGATAGAGGTACTAGCAGTCGACGTGGACACTCCGGCTATCCTGATGAGTTTTCTGGTTCTGTTTCTCAAGTTCATTTACCAGCATGGGCCATGGTTCCTCAGAAAAAGGGTCGCGAAGCTGTGAAGGATTCACGACCTCTGTCACCTCCCCCAGGATAATTCAATGTGGTACCCAAATTTTACATTGAGGGAGCAGTTGCAAAAGCCACGCCCCCTGGACCTTTAGTTCCGTTGGATCGAACGACTCGCAATGTACCTGAAAAGGATGGAGATGAGTTACTTCCAGCAAAGGATGATTTGTTTCACAAAAATCTTGCTGCGATGCGAAACCAAGTTGGTCCGCCTGGTCCGATTAGACAGCTTCGGACTCAGATGACAGTTCCGGATTATGATTGGGTAAAAGAAAAGCTTTCGCTCAGTAGGGATAGAGCTCAGTGGATTTACCCCATGTACCAGTTAGCATGTCAACTCCGAAATTCAGATCCGTTTGTACAAGAAGTGAAGCTACGACTGGAGCAGAAGTGCCCGTCAAATCAGGATTATCCACCTGAATCTGCATTGTACACACTGACAAAAGCCATCATTGCTGCCTCTTTTCCTCTTGCTTGCATCCTAAAGTTTATTCCACATGAATTTGAGGGACGTCGAATTTGGAAGATTCCTGTGACAGGAATGCCTGGATATTTGCAGACCCATGACACAAACAAGAATGCATATGTGTGGTGTCATGCTACGTCCCCTGCTGGTTTGATCGGTGTACTGAAACAGGGCATTGTTGCCCCTACTTGTAGGGATCAGGTATGGATGGACAGACCATTGAGTGGATTTTTCGGAACTGCCACATACGACCTCGCAGAGGAAAACATTTTACGCATCATTCTGCAACGGTCTCAGGCAGGGAAGAACAGCTCGGGCTTCATTATTTCAGGAAGAGTGGTAGCATCTCATCGCAGGGTTGCAAGTGGAGGCGTGGTCCAGGAACAACAGGAGGTTGAAGAATGCCTCTTGACACACCGCCCTCGAGATCGCCGCTGGTGTATTCACTTCAACCATACAGTTATTGATCATATTTGGTTTATTGAACCTTGCTCTGGCTCTGGACCCGCTCGGTTGGACGAAGCTCCCGAAAGCAGGTCGCAGGGTTGGTCTTTTATCATGCCTCCCAATCCACAGTTGATGGAGTTTTCTCTTGGCTGATTTTTGCAACGTACGACAGGTTTATGAATTTTCTTGACTGTGTGAAAAATGCTTGCTGCCAGTGGTCGTCATGTATCTGTGCCAAGAAACAAAACAAAACGAAAAACAGTTGATAATTCAAAAAACGGCGGCGATGCCGTGTGGCTGATGTAGGTTTCAGAATTACAGTACATGTGCGAGAGTCATGTGACAGCTAAGCAACGGTGAATCTGCTCACTAAATGACATTCTCTGTGTTTATACCTACTAGATCAAGTAAGTAAAGTGTGCCACGTGTTTGTCGTTTCATGAGTTTTCAGTCGTTCATGTTTTCTCCACAGTTGTTCTTCTGGTAGGATTTGTCTCAAGAGCATCCAACATCCAATTCAATTCGTAGGTATGTCATCCTGGGGTAGTCAGTGGAATCGATGGGATGATGATCGATCGTGGCGTAGCCGAGACTGGCATCAGGACAACTATTCTCAACGGCAAGATTCCACCTTTGAAGTCAAATCCAGCATTCGCGACAATGAGTTACCGTCATCCTTCAGACCTGATGAATATCATCTAGATATTTCACGCAATCCTCCCTTGCACCGTACAGTTCAAGCTACGGCTTGGAGTCGCAAGCAAGGAATTGCGGGACTCCCAGTGGAACAGGTTACAGTTGCTTCGCTTGCCAGGAATGGTCTCGAAGAATGGTCCCTAAGACCTCTAAGTGCAGGCCGTTACACTGGAATGGTGTTGACCAGGAGTATTGCAGAAGGCGTTTTATGTTCCAGGATTCTGCACCACCTTCGTAACAAGCAATGGGACATTGACATGATGGCAGAACAGATTTTTCGTGACACGCATCCAGACTTGCCCATTCCAAACAAGCATTCTGAGGCCAAGGATTTCATTGATCCTATGTCTCTGAAAGTCATTGAAGTTTTGGACAAGTACGCGCAAGTCAAGCCCAGCAGTTCCAATACTAGTTCTCAGGTTGGTGCCTTGCAGGAAAAGCTTCGCCGATATGAACAGAAAGCCAATGAACATGGTATTCAGCTGACACCCACAAAGACAGGACCCCAGAATATTGCAAATGATCAGAATGAAGCCAG